TGGGGGGGGGGGGGGGGGCAATTCTAGAGCCAAAAGAAGAGAAACTTGATTCTAAGACCCCCATCCAAAAGGGACCCTAATATCCAACATTTCACCACGTGCTAGTTGAATCGCCCAATAGTTTAATCAACAAAACTCTGCTTTTCAAGATTTTCTTACATGTTCTTGTGCAGATGACATTTTCTCGGTGGGATGTGGGTTCTGGGATACACCCTCAAACCTGCAGAAGAGTGGGCATTTCTAGGGTTTAGGGCTCAATCCTGATAAATGAGCTACATCATTATAAGGGTTGATATGTAACGACTTGCTGACACATGGAGAGTTTCAATTATTTGGACCCTCTGAGAAATCCGAAGAAGTTGAACCTAAATCTGAAACACGCGACCCAACAAGTACGCAGGGATTAAAGGTAAGCTCAAAAAGGCTTGGGATTTAGGGAAACTATATCAGTGCTTCTCGAGGTGTAGGGTTTAGGGTATCCTGGCAATGCCTGGCAACCCTTTTATCCTCATGATTCTCTCCAGGCCATACCTTCAGGAGACTTACAGTCTGCGCCATAAGTGGTAGATACAGGAAGCACAGAAAGCATATGTAAAACAGACATAAATACATGATGAGATTTACAGAACATTGATTGTTGGAAGGCCCTAGGGCCATGTAAAGAAAATGTATACCGACATATATGCCTGGAAAACCTGAAATACAAGGGACATGGGCTCCCTGTGGGCCGGACATGTTTTCTCCCTCACGCTGCTGTGCCGGTGTCGCGGAGTTCGACCTGCTTCCCACAAAGCAGCTGAAGACATGGCTTCTAACCTTCGTAAAGCCTCTTACCTATCAAGAGCATTCATAGATCGCCGCGCTTCCTTTCCTAAACCCGATATATGCCCTTAGATACTCCCTATATAGAACCCGTATGTAATCCCTTGATTGCTGCCATGTAATCCCTGTAGAACCTCTGGCAGCTGCCAGATCCCTTTGTTTAGGACAGGGCTCCCCACATGACCCAAATAAACATCGTTTAGGATTTAGAGGTTTAGGGTATTGTATAGCCCTTTTAGCCCACCAAAAATAATGGCGTTTTAGTTACCTCCACTCCTAAATTTCAAGCCTACTAGGATCATGCGGTAGTCACAGAGTCCTGAGTAGAGTGGCTGGGGTAAGGGTAACTAAGCCTCTTCAAAAACTAAACAGGGAAATCAAGAGCATCCTGCGGGAGCCTCCTGGGTGCGACTGCGCCGTGGCAGGGAGCGGGACCTTTGCCTTGGGGCATTGGTTTTTCTTACGCCCTAAAACCTTCCTAAGGCCTCTGTCACCCTAAACCTTGCGACTCTAGAACCCTAAAACCTAAAGCCTACTATACCCTGAACTGTAAATCCTATAACCCCGAGCCCTAAATCCTACAACCTGAGCCCAGAAACCCAATAACCCTAAACTCTAAAAGGTTTAGGATTGAAAGCAGTGCTCCCCATTCAGACGTGGAGGCTACAGTAGACCAGATCAGGCGCACATTAAGCAGCACCCTAGACCTCCCAACTACCCATAATCCTAGACCCTCCATCTACCACCCGAAATACCTGCTATTAGGAACCATATACGTAAGGGTACAAGGAACGTCCTGGATAATTGCCTACATACCCATGAAGTATTGAGACTGAAGGCTGTTATGCTGGGTTTTTTGGGAAGTCTGGGTACTGGCGGTAGCTGCAACTACCAGTAGTCGCAACCTGACCTAATCGCTTCAGGGACTTTCTTGTATGATAGCGCAGGCAGAGGGGCGGTTGATCGAAAAAAGTCCTAAGCCTTCTTGAACTAAGCCTCGAAATCCTAAGCTGTGTAGGGATCGCGTTGGTCTCGTAAAACGGTAGTTTCCGAAAATAGGGGGGCCCCAGTATAGACCCCAAATACTATAATCCTTATTCTAATCTAGGGGCCCCTGAAAAGAACAACTTCCAAAAACACGACATACTCTCAAAGCGTTCCAAGGCACTGTTGGACGCGGCGGCGCCATTGAAACACAGATAAAGCGATGAAGATCACCAAACAAACGGCGACAACCTCAGCTTAATGATGGTTAGTAGGAACTAAAGGAATAGACTTCCTCTTTGATTAACCCCTGTATGGTTATAACACCTAAAATAAATAGTCCCTTATTCCTATTCCCTACTAACCCCCAGTAAGCTCAGGTGGGGAAGAGTGCGGGGTTCAAAGCTTGGATGTCTGGGTAGGTAGGTATAATGATAATGATGATGGAGATTGAAATGATAAATAAAGTTGAAAATGACATGGAAACTGGGCTGATATAGGGGCTTGCGCTCGTATCTGCTGCTAGGTTTAGGGCTTGGAGCTTAGGGTTTTGGAGCTCAGAGTGCGCAAGAGCATGTATTTAACTGCTCATGGAACCAAAGAGATCTTCCAACATGTGGGATTCTCTCCTATGCGAAGTTGAAATGCCCTTTTTCCAGCTGCATACAGGAGCTCACTTGGAATGAGGAGAATTTTGTAGGGGGTCCCAACTCAATTGAAGGATTCTACTCATAAGAGGGGGCCTCTTTTCTGTGAACTGCAGCATATTTTGTATCCTTGGTTGTACCTTACTAAGATACCGCGCTGAGAACACATTTGTTGGCAAGTATTCTCTCTTCCGCGTTACAGGCTTCCTGCTGGATACTGGTGCATATACCCTAAACCGTAAACCCCTAGACCCCTAAACATGGTTCTTTTGGGACGCTGCTGCTACCTGGCACAAACATATTGGGGGTTTCCAAGATTAGGGGTACCATTCTGAATAAGGATTATAGCATTTAGGGATCTATATTGGAACCCCATATGTGGGGAAACTACCATACTTCTGTGTAAATTAAACGTTCAGGTGAGTCCAAAGTGTTTCTTTGGACGTGTCGGTGTCTCCGCTGGACATTTGGTGTCCGTAGCCAAGCCAAGCCCCTCCATCGCTAAAGCTACTACCCTAAACCCTAAACCTTAAACCCTAAACCCTAAACCTTAAACCTTAAACCCTAAACCCTAAACCTGACTACAGTGGAGCCTGAGGAGGCTAGGGTTGGGACCGAATCTTGAAATAAGCCTTCCGAGGTGCGCTATCATGTCCTGCCTGCACTTGGAGGGTCCAGGTGAGCAAAACCGAATGATAACAACTTTGGTACGGGTTTCGGGTTTAGGGTTTAGGGTTTAGGGGATTATTGGGTTGCAGCTGGGTACACCTTTCGGCAGGTGATACCGCACCTCAAAGGCTCCCACCAACACCGAGGTGCCAAGAAATTGTTAAGCCCTAACTCAGACTGTCAAGCGCGTGAAGCCCACATACCCTACCCACTGCAAGCTACAGATCTTGTAACAACTTTAGACTATCCTATAACATTTCACTGCAAGCTACAGATCTTGTAACAACTTTGGGTTATCCTATACCCTAAACCCTAAACCCAAACCCTAAACCCTAAACCCTACTGACACCTTTGCATTATGCCATGGAGCCTGAGGGCACAAATTACCAACTCTACGGTCCCGACCTAACACCTACGACCTCATAATTTGGGGGTTTAGGGTTTAGGGTTTGGGTTTAGGGTTTTGGGGTTTAGGGTTTAGGGTTGAAACCTTTTCGATTACCTAAAGCTTGTCACAAAAATCCCGGAGATCACAGGGGCCTTTCAAGATACAGTCCCCTTTAAGTAGATAAACTATGGGGGTAGATGGGGATCTTTTTATGATATACCCAGAGCCAAATTCTATCTACTCAAGGGGGACTAAAGGCATATCACTTCTTCCTCAACAAAGCAGGATCTTAAAAGGTCTCTGAAATTCGTCCAACCACGTCCTGACCTTCATACCCTCCGCAAAAAAACGCGTCAGAACCAGGACCCTCCTTGTACCCTTAAATGGGGCTATACCTTCCTGAATAGTGAGTATTTTAAGGTATACACTGGGTAGATGGGCGGTCTAGGAAATCTGAAAAATAGTCTAAATTCCAAGTATCCCCCTTAATAAGCCCAATAATAGCTCACTACCCAATGTCCTGTAGAACCCCCTTTCGGGAGTTTAGACCCTAAACCCTAAATCCTAAACCCCATATAATCCCCATATAACCCCTGCATCAGGAGCTTCAGCCCCTTTAAGGATTTTAGATCCTAAACCCTAACTCCTAAACCCCATACAATCCCCATATAACCCCTGCTGTAGGAGTGTAAGCCCCTTCAAGGAGTTTAGACCCTAAACCCTAAATCCTAAACCCTATACAACCCCCTATATATACTTCCCCATATACTCCCCTATGTAACCCCCCCAATTGTGGCTCATTTTGCCAAGGCTACGCGTAAGTCCGCATACCAAACCCAAGGCTTCGCGGCAACCTAGCGGCTGGGAGCTTGGATTGGGGTTTAGGGTCTAGGGTTTAACGTTTAGAGTCGAGGGTTTTGAGGGTTTAGGGTGTTTAGGGGGATTTGGGGGCAGTTACTGGGACTTAGGGGGTGTAGGGATGAGGGTTGAGAGGGTTTAGGATTTCCCAAACCCCTTGTCTGTCCTGTCCTTTTCGCTTGTCCTTTCCGTTTTGCTTGTGTCTCGGGATTTTGGCTTAGCTTCTGCAGTCCGGTGGTTTGAGTTGCGGGTTTGGGATTGAGGGCGCGTTTAGCGTCTACAGTTCTTGAGTGCGGTTTCGGGTGTCGGGGTTTTGCGTTATCTTGGTCTGGGGGTAAGCTGCAGGGTTTGGAAGTTAGCCTAGGGCTGAGGGTTTAAGGTTCATGGGGATCAACTTTACAGTTGAGGACGTAGGCTGCAGGCAGCTTCCGATGCAAAATCCAGCTTGCAAGAACTTGCAGAGAGAAACGAAGAGTCCTTATGGGATTTGCGAAGAATGGCTAATCATCGTGTTCCTCATGAAGAAGGGCTTGTTGTTGCAGAAATACCATATCAGTCAACTCTACCAAGGAATGTCCGATCCGATGCTCAACCTTAAACCCTCAGCCCAAACAGCCCCAAACCCTATGCACCCCAAATGCCAGCCCAAGCCATGAGCCTTGCTCTACAATGCACGTTTCTTTGCACCGCGGGCCTGTGACTAGCTGGCTCTTTGGCGACCCTCCCCCCTGAACCCTAAGCCCAAACACAAATGTAAGCCCATGGAGCCTCCACTCAAAAGGACACGTGACACCAGTCTTTGTAGGGTGCCCTCTGGGCTGACATGTTTGTTTTGTGGCAAGGTCATCTGTGTCCTGGAGAACTCCCCTTACCTCCACGGATTAGCTCCAAAACATCCAGATGTGACGAAGAGAGTTTCAAGGGTTCCTGGGTTGTACTGTACCCCTCAGGTCGTACCCCTAGAAGGTTTCCCCAATATCCCCCTAAAATAGCCCTTATATGAGCCAATGTAATCCCTAGAGGTACAAGCCTGAAACCCTTGAGAGTTTGAGACCTGATCCCAAAGCGCAGTTCCGCTTGGACTCGAAGCTTCCCACATCCCAATCAGGAAGCCTACACTTGGGGCTGAACTCATCAGAAGAAGGCTTTGGCACATATGAGACTACGGTTTTACAAGGCTTCTACATTCCTAGATCCCGCGAAGACCCACTATTAGCCATATACCCCTTTTTAAGGTCGGGGTAACCTCTGAACCCTAAGCCCTAAACCCAAACATGACATGCAAGATCACGGCCTTCCAGAGGCTGTCACTCAGACAGGACTCGATGCTAGACTCCTCGGTAGGGTTTAGGGTTTAGAGCGTAAGGTTTAGGGTTGAAGGTTTAATTAAGGTTTGACGTTTAAGGGTTTTAGGGTTTAGGGCTTGGGGTCTAACAAACCCAAGCACAAGACCGTAACCAAAAGGAAGGTACAATCCTCTCCATATTAGGGGCCGTAGGTCCCCCCAAATAAAACTCCACTCTTCTGGAATTCCGACTGCCAACTCCTGACCGCAAAGGAAAACCTTAAACCTAAACCCTAAACCAGATTCCTGATCCAGGGGTTGATGACGTGTAAGAAGCCATTCAAAGATGCAGCCATGTTCTGGGATTGCTTGGTGAAGCAGTGCCGGCCCATAATTCCCTAGACCCTAAGGTTTAGGGTTCAGGGTTTAGGGTTTAGGGAAACCTTAAACCCTAAACCCAGAATTGCAAATTGTGGCCCAGATAGGTGGATGACTTCCGCTACTGCTCTCAAAGAGTAGGACCGGTAGAACTTCTTTGGCAAAGCAGCAACTCTTCCGCATTTAAGCAGTGGCATACATGGATCCTGAGGTAAGGTGGCATCCATGGCCCCTGTTCGAAAACGATATTAGGGTGTGGGGGCTACATCTGAGGCATGATGGCTCCAAGAGTCTAGCCACTCAATAGCCGTGCCTAATAGCATGACAATTCATCTCCATCAACTTTCGGAAACCAGGAAAAAGGCTGATGCAGGATATACTGACCGCTCCCGCCAAAGGTCCTAAATCTGCCTGCAGAATCTTAAAATCCACAAGCCGAAAACTCTCATAGACACCCAATCCCAGACCGGAACCCAGCCGCTGCAAGAGTGCAACAAAATTGAAGAGGAACTTTCTAAAGCAATCGCTATTAAACACACCCACATCCTCCTTTATGTCCCCCGGTTTCTGTTGGCTTTGGGGCCCATGATTGCAGGGAATCTCGGAGATCGGGGTGGAGCTGTTTAACGTTTTTGGGAAGGGCTACTGAGGTCCAGCTTGACCGCGCGCATGTTAAGAAAGCTTCTGCCCTGTGTGCCATACTGTCCTTCTGCCAGGCCTACTACAAGCCGATGAGGTTAAGGTTACGAGTCTACGTAACCCCTTCGCGACTTTACATGGGCCTGTGTGAAGCCCTCGTCTGGCAAAAGCCGGAGACAAGCCTTTTCGCCTAGAATGTAATGAGCTGCACAAAGCTCATGGCTGCGTAGGACACCCAAAACAACTTATCCATGGAATTCACAGGCAAGCCCTGCGATGAGCAACCTAGACCCCTACAGAACAGTAAAGATACAAAATAGTAGGTACAAAGCACCGCCCGGGGACTCTCTGTAAATCCTCAAAACGAGAGGCAGAAACACCATAGAGGAGGGTGCAGACTGCAAGATGGCGGCAGGAACCGTTGCATTCGCCGCAGGCCGTCTGGGGTGATGATTACGGGCTTCGAGTCTAAGGCTACGGTTTTGGGTCTAGCGTCCAGGAATACAGCAAAGGCGTTGAAGGTTTTGTTTAGGGCTTGGGTGTTGTGTGTCTAGGGTTTAAGGCTTGCTGAAGGCTGCCGGATGGACTTCAGATTTGTGAGCTCCTTTCAGAGGGGGTCTGCAGGTACGGTACTAAGGACCCATGTGATATGAAGGGGATTACAAGCTGCTGTGGGGAGTCCCCATCAAATACCCATTTTAGGCTTCAAATCCTGCGGGGATTGATTTGGACCATTACGGGCAACCATTCTTCAGGAAGTGAAGTAGATACGTACGCATGTAGAAAGCATAATTGTGTAGCCTGCTCGACATTCCTGTACATCAGCACCATACCCCCGAAGCCCAGCGGGTTACTGTATCGTTCTTTTTTCAAAATATGAACTTATACTAGATACTCCCTACAGCTCAATATGCAAATACAGATAAGCTTCCTGAAAAGAAACCTAAATTACCCCTAAGCCCCAAACCTAAACCCTAAATCCTAAACCCTACCCATCTAACTGGGATTCTAGGGGCTGATCCCTAAACCCTAATCTGTGCTCACAGGCGGGTTTAGGGGGTAGGGTTCATGCAGAAAAGCCGGCAAATCGCTCATGATACATAGACAGCGGCACATATGAAAGAATCAGGGTCATATAGGTTAAGGGTTAGGTTTCAGGAGTCAAGGTTGGCAGTCGCCGGAGCAAGAATGAAACTCAAAATGAGGTCCCTCTGTAGACGCATTATGCCATGTGATCTCCCAAGAATCCTTTTGTAAGCCCTACTTGGGACCGCTGGCATCTCTTCGTATTTCCCATACAACCCTGGGGTCCCTAAGCACGGCCAGTTGTGAGAAACCCCGTACGGAGCTGCATGCTTGTTTTTCTTTGAGGTTCATGGCTAGCTACAGGTAGTTGGAATTAGTGTTGGGGGTTTACTCGTTGGGGCTTAGGGTTAGGGGTTCAGGGTTTGGGGTTTCAGGGTTTTTCGTTCAACCACCTCTCCGTCCCTGAACCTGCAAGTATGGCAGTGTGCGTTTCATAAGCGGGCCTTGCACCACTGACTTGCATCATCAACGGCAGGTGCTGTTAACTCTATTGATCGGTAGAGTGTATTATGGCTTCGACTAGTACCCCCCTCTATACTACCCCCCCCCTAGGTTCCCCCCTTAACTAAAGTTATTTCGGGATAATTTGGCTTAATTAAGGTTAATTAAGGGGGAACCAGTATAGAGGGGGGTACTAGTTGAACCCATGAGTGTAAGGTTCTTCTAGGTACCTCCTAGTACAATGGCTGGAGGTCCCTCTTTTTTTAAGCACAAGGACCCTAAACCCCACACCCTAAACCCTAAACTCCCAAATCATCCCAACTCCTAAACGGAACCCTAAACCCTGGAACCCTTCCAAATCATCCCAAATCCTAAATGGAACCCGAAAACCTCAAACCCTTAAACCCCAAACCCTGAACTCTCAAATCATCCTAAATCCTAGAAGGAACCCCAAAACCTACAAACTCTAAAGCCCCGAATCCTAAACTTCCAAGTCATCCCAAATCTTAAGCCCTTACTCTTCCCTAAACCCCTAAGCCCTAAACCCCCTAAACCCCCTAAACCCCCTGAACCCCTAAATCCTAAACCGCCTAAACCCCTAAACCCCAAAACCTTCAAACTCCAAAATCCTAAACGATGTCCCAGAAGCTGGGTTGAGCCCCTGCTCGACGTCGCAGGCACCACCGAGACTCCTTTGATTTTTTTCTGGATGGTTGTTTTTCGACGTCGTTTCAGGAATTATTATGGTTTCAGGATTTATCAGGGTTTCAGGATTTATTAGGGTTTAGGGGGTTTAGCGGTTTAGAGGGTTAGAAGGTTTAGGGATTCAGGGATTTAGGTGTTTGTTTCGAGCCTTTAGGGATAGAGAGGGACGAGAAGGGATATATGGATCTCTCTTCAGGATACGGATACTACGAGGATTTGTCCATAAGACATCTTCTCGGGAGCAAGGACAGGAGATGACACTTAATTTAAGTCACTTTGTTCATTGGGAAACACTAGTATTTACAGTATATACGTATTATGGTAACCTATCTTAAGTTCCTTAACAGCAACCCAGATGAGTACGACAGTCTCAAAATACATGTATAGGTTCTGTCTTCGGCCCACTAAACTCCAAAAACCCACCTGGCTTCCAGTCCCTTTCAAACATGTATGACGTACTCAGCCGCACGCCCACAACTCTAGGCCAATGCTTCATTGATGAGAGGGTTTTGATAGCCCCAAACCTGACACTTCGGATCCAATTATGATCGTATCACTTTGCCTTTGATTCGGGGACTGGGCCAACCACAAATCTGCTCCTGCAATACAAATACTCACATAACCCCTGTACAACCCCAGTTTCTGTTTTATCTTCCACTCTTTTCCACTTGGGAATCTATTGCGGGGGGCGACCAAGCTCCCCATATGTCAATGGCAACTAGCAGGAGGCATAGACGCCATAACCACTGAGGGGCTTCCACACCTGTAACTAACAGGGGCCTGATAGCCTTGGGACATTTGGGGCCCTAGCACAAACCAATCTGCCCAAACATGCCTGACATGGGGATCGCATAAAAAGGGGGCCGATAAACACCCAAACATATTATAATCCATTTTTGTAGGAATCATAGAAAAAGGCGGCCCAGTTCTTGGAAACACCCAAATTTGGGGACGCTTAGCCACCTCAGGGAATATCCCAAACCCCAACATACCTTAAACTCTACAAGGAAGCTTTATAGGCTCGAAGCCAAGCGTAAGGAGACCAAAACTTAAGTACAAAGGCGCATTTTTACGTTACATAACTTACCCGGGACAAACCATAAAGGAACTGCGACCCTTCGAATGGAGCGTCTGGACCACGGAGGACTCCAGGAACTTGTCCCACAGCAGATCGTTGCCGTTGGCAAAGGATCGAGCCAGCATGGCATACCTGCAGATTCTTCACTAGTTTTGGGGTTTTCATTCCCATTGACGGCCCTCAGGCAACGGAGACGAATGTAGAAACCACTCTGTCGTTTAGGGCCTGGGGTTTATTACTGGGGGGGGGATTGAGGGAAGAATTGCGGAAAAGAGGTACTATCGCAGGTAACTATGTAGCAACATTGTTGGGAGCCACGCCCCCACTCTCTCTCACGCAGCCTTACCTGCCAATACGATTAGTGGTGGAGGGGCCCGGGTTCAATAACAGAGTGGGTCCCCTGGTATGTGCGCTTGGCCGTATTCTCCTGTCCAAAGAAGGAGCAAACCTTTGAACGACTACATGATTTAGTACAGTTTGGGACACGCAAACCTGTTTCGGCTACTTCCTGCTAAGAATTCCCCGTTCCTGGTGGCTTGCGATGCATGATTTCGAGGACTCACATGCTGTCGGGGTGGGGGCTTTGCAGGGGACTTAAGGCAGGAATTTGCGCCTAAGGTGAACGCAGTTGTACTGCCTCCAGCAATCCCCCAAACATAGTTGGAGGCGGTGAGTTGTTATGGGTGGCCAGCAGGTGAGCTGGCCATGAAGCAGACACTTCACGTAGGGGCAGAATGACCGAAGTTGTAAGTGACAGGTAGGTATATGTGCCCAACATCAAGTGATTATTGCTTGTATTGTATGCTTAGGTTGTCCTTCTGGAAGACGCAATTGCCAGAAAGTAGTCTTAAGGTGCGCTATAGGTACAGCAGACAACCACCGTCTTGAAATATCATCTCCGCCTACAACAAACTTGAGGGTTTTCTCCAGCCTCACAGCGAAAAGCCAAGGCACCTGAAAAGCACGGGATCTTCAGCACCCGAAACCCTGCTCAAAGTCAGCCCCTAACTCCCGGCGCACACCCTCCCCAACCTAACACGTCTCCCCAAAAAGGCCACAGCCCGTTGAATAGGTGTCTCTGGCGCTTTCCGTACTAACATATCAATTACTGAGTTTGTGGGATGAGGATTTTCTAGCTCTGCAGCGGGAGCCAACAGCCCTTGACCTCTCCTCCCTATGTTTGAAGGTGGATATTCAGGGTACAAATTAACCCTTAACCCTCAACCCTGAACCGTAAGACCTTGAAACTAAATTCAAAAACCAGAAATCCTGCAGTCCTGAACCGAAAAAAAACTTCAGCCCTACACACTCAAGATGAAACCTTGCCATGCTGAGCCCTTTACTTTACCCCTCCCCCAATCTGGATCTCTATAGGAGCTATAGCCTAAACTCCTACCCCTTATAGTAGTCCCTTACAGAACACCCTGTGTCAGCCCCCTTTAAGGAGTTTTTCTACTATAGCTCATGTAAGGGGCTCTGTGGAAACCAAAGTCCCTTTGTTCTACATGCGGTTCCATGTCAGTTTGGGGGGAGTACAGATCCAAAACCCTAAAACCCTACACATCCCTATGCGTCCTTAGATACCTACCGTAGACTCCCTTAAAATTGATTCCATGGCACCATACATCCCTATAAGTCCTTAGATACCTACCGTAGACTCCCTTGAAAGGGATTCCATGGCACCATACATCCCTATACATCCTTATATACCCACCGTATACTCCCTTGAAAGGGATTCCATGGCACCATACATCCCTATACGTCCTTGTAAACCTACCGTATACTCTCTTAAAGCCCCAAACCCTAAACCCTTGAAAGGGTTCCATGTCAGCCAAGTTGGTAGGCCTTGCGTTCGTCAGCGCGGCCAAGCCATAGTCGTCCCGCGCAGAGTAGCCCGGGCGAAAGTGAGGGTCTGCCTACGAGGCTTTAGGGTTTAGGACTTATGTCTGTGCAAATTAAAATCGTTGCAAGAAGCTGTAGAGATTACATAGGGGTCATGGGGATATATGTATATGTACATATATATATATATGTGGATATATTGAGGCTTAGGCTTCATATGCAGTATATTGGGGGATTCTGGGCCATTCAGGAGCATACAGGCTTGGGGTCTGCATAACTTAAAACGCCATGTTTAGGGCAGCAGAGGTTACAAAAAAATCCTAGCCATTCACTGGGTTGCTGTTAATGAACTTAAACTAACTCGTTTATGATAAGGAAACCTTTGTTCTGCTTCATACCCATAGTATGTTAACTTGCCTTAAGTCCCTTAGCACTGGACCCTAAACCCTAAGCCTGAAGAATCTAAACCTCTATTTAAGTTCGTGGGAGTCGGCCTACGTTCAAATTCTGCATCTGTACATGTCGCTCAAGAGTGCTGAGACTTTGCTTTGGAATCCCCTCCTGCCGACAGAAAACACCCCCACCCCAATCTGTCCCCCTTAAGTAGATAGAATATGGCTTTGGGTATATTATAATAAGGTCCCCAAATACCCCATATTCTGTCTACTTAAGGGGGACTATAGTTGCTGCCATGTTCGGGGGGAAGTATTTGATACCAGCGCGGGTATCATTTTATCAGAGGGGAGAAGATGTTAGCTGGTGCGGCCTGCTTTGACTCCTGTAAGGTCCTGGCCACAAAAAGCAAGAAACAAGACGAAAACTGCTAGCTGTGGGTCGCCCTCCGTATACTGCAGTTTCTCTAGCTAGTGAAGTTCCGCTTTAAGGGTCTGCCAGCAGCAAGATGCCTTGGCAGCAAATCATCATCCTCGGCTACCATCTTCCGTGGCAAGCTACAAAAGAGACCGCTAGAACGACGATTGTCTTCCTAAAAGCCGTCTAGGAAGACTGGGTTCCACGTTTAGCAAGAGGGCTGGCAAAGTTTACCCTATAACTTAAACCCTCTTACTAAACCCTGAGCCCTAAACCCTAAACCCTTTCGACCAAGGCTGGTTGAAAAAAGGGAGGCCCAAAACAGAAAGGACACCCAGCGCTACAGGTAGATCCCCTAAACCCTATACCCTAAACCCCAAACCCCTAGATCCCACCAAGCCAAAGTGCCTCCCGACGATCTTTCCCTATAGGGCCCTCAGAGCTGTAGTTCTTGTCGCCCCCCGCGGTTCAGATTTAGAGGTTAGGGTTTAGGGTTTAGGGTTCAGGGTTCAGGGGTTTAGGGTTTAGGGTTTAGGGATTTAGAGGTAAGGGTTTATACTGGGTTGCTGTTAAGGAACTTAAATTAAGTTACCATAATGGGTATATATAGTAAATAACAGGGTTTCCCCAATATAGTAACTTCAATTAAGTTCCTTAACAGCAATCCAGTATAGGGTTGCATCCTTCAGGTCTGCTTTTGACGACGATGCCTGCGAGAGATTCGCCCAGTAGCTGTGAACATCCTGCAGCGAGTAGTCACCTCAGCCAAACGAGAAACACTCCAAAAGATCAAACCCAAGATCCTACACCCACAGCCCTTGTTCCTGAACCTTAAGTCCTTTTGTTCTCATGAACTCGGTGCTTATTCTAAGCCCCGAAACCCTACACCCTCTGCGAGAAGCTCCTTCAATCCCACACACTCCGGATTGCCAGCATGACTCCTTTCTGGACATGTTGCATGCAACAAATGTATTTAAGGGTCAGGGCTGGGGTCTAGGGCTGGGACAGTAGCGGAGCCTTGGTAAGCAGGCTCATAGCCCCAAGCTCTGCGCTACTTGGGGACTGGAAGGTATAATCCCCTATAGCCTATATGTAGGGTACCCAAAAGGGGACCATAATTTTGACAATCACCCTTTTGAGCTACTGTCTAAACTCCTAGTATCCCCCTTAATAACCCCTATAGTAGTCCCCTGTATAATCCCCTATATATAGCCCCCTTTAAGGAGTTTAGAGTATGGTACATATGCTTTTTTAGGGGAAGGGAGGGGATTGATACGTAGACTTGCCGAGCCGGCCTTTCTTCAAGCAAGACGGGCCAGTCATTCCCTGTTTCATCTTGCGGGCTTGCAAAGCCCGATGATTCAGGAACCTAGAAATTGGGGATCTTTGGCGCTTTTGCTTTATGCAGGTCGTTTTGGGGGATGTGGTCCACTAATATGTCGCTGGCATTTGGGCATTCTTTAAAAAGGATTGCAGCAGGCACTTTGGGGGTGTCTTGTGCCGCGGAGGAAGTTTTTTATGACGAATTGTCGGGCCCGTTTTCGAAGCAGCAGGTTTTCATGCCGACTACTACGGTAAACACATGAGACCTTGGGTTCATTGTTGTTGCCTTGTAGGTAGCCCGTATAACCTCGAAGTGTCCTACAGTAAGTATGCTAGGGGTAGTGCCCAAACACGAGCCTGGCTACCCAGGTTTCCAGACTCAGCACCCGCCCTGTACCCTTAAACAGCAGCTTCTGCTCCCTTATACTGAGTATTTAGGGTATATTAAAGGGTCTAGGTAGACAAGTATTCTTCTGAATGATCTCTCTTCTTCTTCTTCTTTGGGCTCTCTGTCTCTCTCTCTCTCCCTCTCTCTCTCTCAACAGTCTTAAGGGGCCCATATCATCCTCTGATGATCCCGGTACATTTTGGAGTCCCCAAGTGCCCCTCATGGCTCCATCCGTGTTCAACAGACAAGACAATGCCAAAACTGTAAATCCTAATTAGCCCTAAACCCTGATATATACTGGACACTAAACCCTGAACCTTAAACCCTGACCCTACACCCTACAGGCCCATAACCCTTGATCTTTAGCTCAAGCCGCTGTTGACGTCCAAGCGATAGAAGGCAGGGTTTGTGTGTTCGATCGGACCTTGGACCGCCGTATTGCCTACCGCTTTCCAAAAAACACACACACACACATGGCAGTTTCAATAAATAGGGAGACCCCAATGTAGACCCCAAAATACTATATCCTCCCTTAATATAGGGACCCCTAACAGGTACGCCTTTTTTTTGGCCTCTCCACATGTTTGGCAACTATGACAGCTTTTATCAAGACTTACCTCGGCCCTAACGCTTGTAAACACTATCGAAGTGGGGCTGTTTGAAACCCTAGGGGTCATGCCAGCGTTGATCTATGTCCACTCCACACTACACTTGAAGAGTCTGGTTTTCGTGGTTGGCCCAGGTATGGCCTTAAGCCGTAAACCCTACCTAAACCCTTAGGGCTTAGGGTTTATACGCTTTGGGCTTTGGGGGTACTTCTTCTAACATGTCGCATCCGAAAGAACGTGAAACATGCCCAGAACAATTCTCTACATCCTAGGACCCTCATGGTATCCTCAAATGGGGATATATGGTCCCCTAATGGTGGGTATTTAGGATATATACACGGGAGACAGAAGGTCTAGGTCTAGGAGCACAGAAACTGCCCTCCTTCTCAAGTTGCTTCAAGGCTGATGGGTTCCCTTAAAGGGGCTATAAGGGTTATACGGGGTTTAGGGTTCAGGGTTTCCACAAATTAGGGGTCCCTTTTTGGGGCTCCCATACTAAGACTTGTAGTATTTTACGGGTCTATGTTGGAGTCTCCTTTTTTGGGAAGCTGCCGTTTACAGGCTTCAGGGTTAAGGTTTGGGCCTGGGGCCTCAAGGCACTTGTTGGAAGGTTTCGTGGCAGAGTTCTCAACACCTAGGTAAGCTTTTGCGGAACAGGAATGGTATCTATAACTGTAATTGTAATAATAAGCCAGCTAGCACCCATGCCCTCTGCGGTGCATGTGAACGTAGCTGTGGCCCTACACCAGTCTGGATGTTATCATGCCATTTTTGTTGGCTTCCAAACATGGAGGTGTCCCGTCCAGTCCCACACGCTAACAGTGATTCTTGCCCTTGGGAACTGGCCCTTGTTGCATGTAAAGACTTCACCCATTCAAGGTATACTATGCTCTGGGCATTTTTAATGGTTCAGAAACCTAAGCTAGGATCCACTTGAGTATATTCCCAAGGGTAACTACAATTTGGGCTGGTCTCGTTTCAGCTCGTAGTTATAGTTTGCCCAGCTAAAACCCTAAACCCTAAATAGTAGTTTCCATTCTATTTTCCATTGTCCCTATATAAACCTTGTATAACCCGAATATTACCACAATATTACCCCAACATGTCCCCTAAATGTCGGCCCAGAAGGCTCAACGAGGCGAACATATACAGCGGGGGTAAGCCGGCAAGCGACTTGGCCATCTGCGACATCGTACTTTAGGGTTTAGGGCTTGGGGTTCAGGGGCTTTCTTTAGGGCGCATGGGCTAAGATGGACAATGAGATGGTGGTTTGGGGGCTACATGGAGCTTCATGGGTAAGTAGGTATCAGTATCAATGGGGTTGTAAGTCATTAGCAAAATGCTACAATGCAGCGAACCGAGTTATAGCTAAAGTTCTTCTAGTTACAACCTTTGCTATACTTGCTTACGCCTGCCCTTCTAAGTATGTCTGTAGGCAACGGTTTGCGGGTTTGGTGGTTTCCTGCTTCACCTTTGAGGTCAACAGTTGTGGGGGTTTGGTTCCGTGGACTCCTCACACTTCTATCGTAGATATGGGGGTTGTTCCAAATGTCCTTGTAAAGAAGGGACCATTGGGGATACACTTCCTTAAAAGGGGATCCTAACCAGTAAGGGAACCTACATTATGGCCATTTTGGGGACAGGTATTTTGAACAATTACCATATGTAGAACACACAAATTGGGCTGCACCACCACAATTGCCCCCTGGGTTCTCTGCATGAAACCACAGGTATAACTATCCTGGCACGCTACATTAGCTCAAACAAAGAAGTATAGCACTTAGGACATCCCCACGGAAAATTGGCCATGTTGCTTTTGGGACAGTGAACACCATTTTCCAAGACTTGGAGTGTTCAGGGTCAGGTTTGGGGGGTGAGTAGGATGGAGGTGTTGCCTTTGGAGCTTCTCTGAAGTGCCCTAGGGATCCAAATAGCCCAATGTAGGTAATATTTACAGACTTTGGGGCCCATTGTAGATATTATTTGTATACTTGGATCCCTAGGGTTGTTTCTGAAATCAAGCTCTCCTCTTGGAAGCCTAGGAGCTTTTCCCCGAACTTTGCAGCTCCGGACCCCAAACCCTGAATAAGGCCAAGGGAAAGGTTGAGGTTGTGGTTTGGGATTGCAGACGCTAGCCGGGCCCTACCCCATATCCATGAAACATCCAAGATCTACATCACACGCCTTCAAAGGCACCGTGCCAGAACCGCAGAGACTCCATAGTTGGAGGTCAGGGGGACTGTCTAAGTAAGTAGACTCGTAACACTCCATAAAATAACCCCAGTTCTAGATCTCCCTGACCCTGAGGGTAGGAGATGTATCCACCAGAGCCTCCCAAATGCGAATCAAACAAGAAGAGCGTGGAGCTGGTACACAGAGGTTTACAGTTTGGGGGTGCTTAGGGCTTTAACATTCACACCCCCAAAATCGACACTGAAACAGCCGTGTCTCTAAACCTGAGCTCAGACCAAAGTCAAAATCATCCGCACGAGCAAAATACTGCCATTGACATATCTCCAAGTAAGTCGGGACGGAAAAAGTCACCCTTTGGATCCCATAGGAGAACGCGGCGCGCTGCTCCCTGCCTGCACGCGGAACTCATCACCTCAGGACATAGTGGGGCGAGAACGGTGGGGATACGGCCTTACTGCGACTGTTTCCTAAACAAAGCCACAACTCTAACACCGAACGCGAAACATGTAACACTGAAGCCTATTCCTCTAACCCTGAACCGTGAAGCAAAACCTGTTGGACTTGGATCAAGGCAGTGCTGAATGCTTATGATTTACAATTCACAAGGAGATTGGCATGGGGTCAAAGGGTTTATAGTTTATAGATTTCGCCGTGGGCATTTTAATAAACACTCATCTGGTATGTTTAGGCTTCACAGCCTAGGACCATGCCTGCGACTTCCTGGTGATCACTAAGCAACACGATTGAATAACACACACATCCTGGTATGTTCTAGTTACCAAGTCTCAGCAATCTGAGGCACAAGCTTTGAAATTTCCCAAGAGTCCGTCCAAATGTGCGCTTACGAGGCCCATGTTCTGCCCAAAGCGCATGCTCCAGCCTTAATCCAGAGCCTGAACCCTACACCCTGAAACCGAGCCAGAGCCCCGAAAGAATCACAGCACTTGAACAAAAGCCGCTTTTGCGATTTCCATGTCAGCCTGCCGCGGAGCCGAACATCGCTGAATCAGCACAGCAAGTTCATCTTGTGTTGATGTAATTGCAGCACTGGATGGCTTCATAGCTTGAGCTGGTTGCCAGCGCTACGGAGGTGCAGTTTCACTGCATTGTCAGCGATGGAAGGCGCGCCGCCGAGGACCGAACCCGATCCTTGCGCTGTCCAAGCACTGCCTTCATCCGGGGATTCTGAGAAGGCAAGCAATACCGATGTCCTTCAGGGGAGACATGCTCCCTTGCAGGGACTAACTGTCAACCCAATGTGTATAAAGCCCAGGGCCAACTGAGACTTAGAAAAAGCTCCCTAAGGTTTAGGGTGTAAGGTTTAGGGTGACTTATAACAAGCCCCTAAGAGAAAGTCATCGGCATGCGTTATGCTCCTATTGTGGCAGGGTCTCTCAAAGGTACTTTCCAACTGCCCATGAGGCAAAATCACCCTTTATCAAAATTACGGGCCCCTGATATGACACCCACTTGGAGGCTCAGGGTAATCACGACCTGCTTGCAAGTGCACCGAAAATGCGACCACAGATGTCTCGTAGCATTGCATATGAACAATCTACCCTCCCAAGCCCCGTATGCAGCCGACAAACGGGCCCTACAGGGATTACTGTCCTTAGAAAGAGGCCTACATGGCGTTCCGCGCGCTTGGAAGAAGGTACCACACGCATGAAGCTGTCAATCTATAAACAAGGACATGAACAATCCTGACACCGTCTGAACATGATAGCTAGGTATTCATACGACTTGGCGTAGAGGGTGAGGCTTTATGGGCTAGGGCTAATTACATCATCCCAACACGACATAATCACTTCAGACACTTCCCCGCATCACTACATGATCCTACGTCATCCGCACGTAATCCTGGACATTCGATTACAGGGTGGTGCCCCCTAGTTGCATAAGTAAAACTAATAGGACATATAACTAATCCCCCTTATAAGTTATTTGTAACCCAACTCCTAACTTGGGGGCCCCACATTGTAGCCAGCTGCGGAATTAGCACTGCAAAGAATCAGTGCCGACGACGAACTGCACCAGTTCAGCGTGGGTCTCACGCAGTGCCCCTCGCCACACTTAAAACCGTCAGCAACACTCCCTGAACTAGACCACCTGGACCTCAACAGTATATGGAACAGTTGCATATTTGGGTTTGCTTCATGGTCTTCCCTCTTCTACAAGTTCCACTACTTACTTTTTTGCCCATGTAAACCCGAAACCCCAAGCACTAACCCCCAAGGCCCTCAACCCTAAACCCCTAAAGCCCTTAACCCCTCAACCCTAAACCCCCAAGCCCTAGCCCTATAAACCCTAAACCCTAAAGCCCTAAACCCTTATAAACCCCAAACCTTTAAACCCTTAACCCTTAAGCCCCAACCTCTGAACCCTACCCTTCAACCTCACAGGCTTTTGCGTTGTCCGAATGGCGATGCTGTTGGCCGAAGAGTTGAGCAGCTATCACACGGCCGTGCCTTGGATGGGCAGTTTCGGATTTAGGGTTTAGGACTTAAGGTTTGGCTTTAGGGTTTAGGGCTTAGGGTTTCGGGTTTGGTGCTGAGATTCGTGGGGGTTTTGAGGGGGTGTGGGGTTGAAGTTAGGTTTAGGGCTTCTCCTAACCACTAGACCTCTACCTGCTTGACTAGCCGCATCGAACCCAACATATAATATGTTAATTAAGGGAGTCCCTTCTAAGGAGGGTAGTGCAGGGGGCAAGCTCAGAAAACCCGAATGCCCCAAACCCTATAAACCCTACACCCTAGACCCTATAAACCTTAACCAACACATAGTAGCAGGCAAAGGTTATTTGGTTGTTTCCATAAATAAGGGGACCCTAATACAGACCCCCAAATACTATAGCCCTTATAACAGGGACCCCCAGAATAGTACCCCTGATTTTGGGAAACCTCAGCTCAGGCAGTAGGAGTTCATGTAAAGGGCTTCAGGGTTAAGGGTTTTAGGGCCTGTTTAGGGTTTGGGCTTTAGAGTTTAGGGCTTAGGGTTTTAGGTTTAGGGCTTTAGGGTTTAGAGTTTAGTGTTCATGCTTGGCGGCACCCCCTATGTAGACCCCCCAAACACAGCAATCGTTATGGGGACCTCCCAAAAGGTGCACCCCAAACCCCTCAAACCCTACACCCCAAACCCTAAGCCCTTTAAACCCTAAACCCCTACAATGTCAGGAGCTCCCATGATCGCCCCTAACATGTCAGCTTGATCGCAGCCGCGAGGCTGAGAAACCAAGGTCCAATATCGAATGGCGTGACGAGGCTGCCACCTTGCTTTTGCTGATACCAAAAAATCCTGCATGACCTTAGTATAAAGGGACTCTACTGGGAA